CCATTACATTATTTATATTTTTGTCCTTAATCAAAACATTATTAAATTATCGTGGCTTCACAGGGAGTTTATAATATTTATGGTAAAGGAAAAATCATGCGGGAATCGAATTGCAAAAATTATGGTTGAACATACAAAAATTCGCAATGCGAAGTGATCTTAACACCAGAGTGGAGTCGTCACATACTCCAAAGGTATCAAAGAGATGGGTGTGGAATCTCGCGGAATTGCAGTAGGGCTAACATCAGAGCATTCGCCTGCCAGGTTTTCGACTCGATGGAGACAACCAACGTCCGTCTCTTGGGGCAAGTTGAGAAGAAAGAAAACTTAATTGAGTATTGCAGACGTCACATTACTACCCAAGATCGGGTACCATGGCACATACGTAGGATGCCGCTCCACGTCGTTTCAGTCAGAGGCCTTTTCACGGCCCAGCCGTACGATAATGAGCTCCTCCAATCACACTTTGCAGTTAGTGGACATGCATTTCATCGTTCTATTATACAAGGACATCGTTCGTTCTCAAACAGCTTCCGCCTCCAGACATTGCTTTCCAGTTTTGATTACTCTAGGGAGGCCAGCCGCATCCTCTGATACATGACATTGTGTTGGTTGCAATCGAATGTCTCATCAGATCACACTCCACAAATATGCAGAAACAGTGCGAAAATTCAAGCAGAAAGGAATACAGTATTACAGTCCACGATCAGAGATCCCGAAGTTTACATAATGTGCCGTCTTCAAAATGTGGTCGCAATCATTAACCAGCACAATAAATATAAATATAAATATAAATATAAATATAAATATAAATATAAATATAAATATAAATATAAATATGGACAATGGTAACACACGGTTAGACAAATTTGACTGAATATATTCAGATATCAAAAAATGAAAATGTCCTAGCACCATTTTGAACTAAAAACCAAGTGAATATTGGGATTTGCCTTATAAAAGTATCTATATGGAAAAAAGTGGCAATCATCAGCAGGAAAAGTCATCCCAATTAATATCTGGAACACTTACATGGTTTATTCGAAATAAATCCCTCCTTGAGAAAATTCTGAGAAGTACTTTCAGCTATGGATAAGCAACTAAAGCCCTCATTCGTCAGTACGGTAACGCTCCATTTCGCACCATCAAGAAGGCAACAGACATTAAGTGTTATGACAGAGCTGAGATGAATTATCCATTAAAAAACTAGGCTGTCTGGAATATTCACCCACATACACAGAATTTCGAAGAATTATGAAACATAAATTGTATTATGGCCAGGCGTGGCCAGGCGTACTTCGGCCACCAAAGAAGTAGTTCTTACACAACGTTTAAAATAATGGGTCTCTCAGTAGACTCTTCACTGATAGGATAATCACGAGCAAACTCCTCATTGGGTTACAAAATTGAATGGTGTAAGTATTTATTATATGATGTAAAACAGTTTTTAGAACAATGGAGATCATTCATGTAATACACTATTGCCCTGTAGCAGCAAAAATGCAGGGGAACAAAACTACGTAAATGGTTTTCCAAAAAGTACCTCGCACAACAAATAAAATACTCGCGTATAACTCTAAATTAAATGTTATATTAAGTATTATAACTAAAAATTAAAAGTCTGGATAAAAACCGTATTTGCAAATTCTGCAATAACATAGTGTGTAATAAACAGATGCACAATACATCAGTTCTTTACCTACCGAAAGTACAAAAAAAGTCGTTCTATAGTGCAACACGTAAACAGCAAATATTTAAAGGCGGGTTGCCTATTACTTGAAGTCTTGCCTAGCCATGAAGTCAGCAGTGTCTTAAGCAATGATGCACTGAGTAAGATAATTCAGTCAGTACACGTAGTATGAGAATCATGGATATAAATCAAGAATTGACATTTTTCCACATTGAAATTGTTTCATTGTTTTTGAATTTTCCAAATCCATTGAAAATGTTTTTGTGTCACAACACAGCGCGTATTGAATAGTGGTCGGTCTCTTCATCGTAGCCTTACAGATGCATGCGGTCAGATGTGTCGTAAACGGAGACACGTGAGTGTGAGAATTCAGTCGATACGTGCAGCATGGGAAGAGTCATAATCACACAATGAAATATTAGCATTTTTTAATCAAAATTAAAACTGTTACTTTTTCCCCCAATATCTGGTTACCCAAAGAAACCACACACACCTCTCTCACATGGTTAAAGGCAGCATAGTTTTCTTTTAATTTCTGTGTAAAATACATTGAAATCCCCAAATCATTTTCGGCAGCATTACATACTTTTCTCTACAATACCTACTAATATTCGTCAGTACGTACATGAGAAGGTAAAAATACATAGGCAAATATATAAGAATAAAATAAATAAATAATAATAATAATAATAAAAAACAAGAAACAACAACTAAAACCTCATTTATTAGGCTTCAAAAATAAAGAATGAAGCATTTTGCAAAAGCAAACAAGAAGTGATTACTTACTTCCTTATTGAGCTTCAAATTTAACCCCAAAAAAATGACAATTAAGAAACTGAATACAAACTAGGGGCCATGACTTTGCCACATCCCCACGCATATTCATTCAAAGGAGCAAACCCTCCTCCCGTACGCCCCCCCCTGCCCTCCGCCCTCCGCCGCGCGACGCAGAGGCACGTCCGGGGCAGCGATCGCGCCAATTGCCGCTGCGCAGCGAGGGCCAGCCGCTCGCCCTCAAAGGGAGAGGGCGGCGCACGTAATGAAGCGCCCAATGAACCGCTTTAATTGGGGTTTGGTTCAGCTGCCACTTCCGGAGCGCCACCCGCCACCCGCAGAGCCGCGCAGCATTGGCCAGCACGCGAGGGCTTTCCACTACAAAACTTACGTCCACGGGCAGTGTGTGCAAGGTTCAGTCGTCTCGTACTGTGGATTTGGTTAGAAGCAGATTTGCTCTAGAAAGTTCAAGGGGTTCTTTCATTTGCTCTCGGAAGTTCAAAAATGTAAAGAAAATATAATTATTTTAATGCCCTTCATAATGTTTTAATGAAGTCATCCATATTTTTTATTGCTATGTTTAAAAAACAATGTATAATTTCATTTCATTTAAAAAAATTTTAACGGGTAGTATGAGCAGACTTTTCGCAGCACTACTATAGAATAATTGAATTTCTTGTATCATCCAAATACATTGAAGTCATATTTTTATATTTTTACATTACTAATCTGTAATAAAATAATTAACAACATTTCAGAGCACATTTGTACCTAATCCACCACAAACCATACGCACGATTCGTCATTTTCTACAAGCACATGTTGAAGAAAGTCATTGTGCATACTTTATATGAGAGCAAATTTTCTTAGAATGCCTGTTATGAAGTTAACCCTAATCGTTTCCGTGTCTCCCGATCCTATCACTTTACATTCACTCCTACACATGACCACAAAATTGAGAACAGCAGCCGCAACCATAGTAAATTTAGTGATCCTCACCTCTTGGAGAAAGAATCCTTCGACGCAAATGAGAGCAGCAAGCCTGTTGTCGTTAGCGGACATTTCAATGCACGAAGTTGATATTGAAATTATACCTCTCTCTTTAATACAGCTCCTAATTCCTAACTCTGCAAGGTAATGTAAAATCTAATAATGCAAAAACTCAATGCAGGACCACATTCTGTAGCATACACTATTAAAAAACTAAGACAATTTAAATATTCGGAACTAGAATGCTTACTTTATGAATTACGTGCCATTAAGTTTCTACTTTCTGTGAACTATTTCAGAGAATATTGTATAATGCTGCAACAACTGATATTAACATTTTGATGAAAATAGACGCCCTGAAGGTTCCTGATACCGAAAAAGTGTTTTAGTACCTGATATTCGTGGTATAAAGTAATGCAGTTGCGTAGTGTAGAATGTCCGGTCACGGTGTCCAGCCTACCCTCTCCGTCAGCCCGTCCCAGACTCATCTAACCTTCCCAGTCCCTCCTCTGCCCGTCTCAGGTCTCTCCACCTACCCATGTCAATATCCCCATCTGCCCGTCCCAGTATTTCTTCTGTCCCTCTTATTCTCTCCACCCTACCCGGCCTAGTCTCTCCGACTGGCCCTTCCAGTATCTCCCTTACCCGCCAGTATTTCTGCCTGTTCCGTCTGCCTGTTTCAAGTTTCTCCGCCGCCCATCGCAGTCTCTCCGCTTCCCCGTCCCAGTCTCTCCTCCTGCCAGTCCATTCTCTCCCTGCTTCATCTAACCGTTCCCAGTCTCTCCGCCTGCCCCCTCCCTTTCTCTCCACCTGCTCGTCCCCAAATCTCTCCGCCCGCTTCTGTCCAGTCTTTCGCCCCGCCCCGTTCCCAGTCTCTCGCCGTCCGCCGCACGTCCATCTCTCCGCCCGCCCGTCCCCCAGTCTCTCCGAACCCGCCCGTCACCAGCGGTCCTCCCGACCCGCCCGTCCCGCGTCTCTTCCGCCCCGCCCCTCCCAGGTCTCTGCCGCCCATCCGCTCGTCCCAGTCCCTCCGGCCCGGCCACTTCCCAATCTCGCCTTCCGCCAGTGCCTCCTCCATTCTTCTCCACCCTGCTGCCGCCCCTCTCGCCGTCCCAGATCTGCCTCCCGTCCTTCCCGCCGTCCCGTCTTCCGCGCCCAGTCTCTCTCCGCCCCGCCCCCGTCCCAGTCGTATTCCCGGCCCCGCCCGTCCCAGGTACTCCGCCCGCCTCGTCCGAACGTCTCTCGCCCGCCCGTCCCAGTGTCTGCTCCGCCCGCCCGGTGCCCAATCTCCTCCGCCCGCCGCGCCTCCCAGTCTCCGTCCGACTCCTGCCCGGTCCCCCATCTCCTCGCGCCCCGCCCGTCCCAGTCTCTCCGCCCGCCCGTCCCAGTCTCTCCGCCCGCCCGTCCCAATTTTTCCTCGCTTTATTGAGCATCAAGCATTCAAATGATAGTCTAGTTATCGATAAATTAATATTACGGTGTTGGAGGAGAGAGCAAGTAAAGACAAAGGCGGGTAGAGAAGAGGAGAGGAAGGAAGCAGTAAAGCTCAGGTCACGCGCAAAACGCTTGTCTCACTATTCGGAGAAACGCTCAGCAGAGCGACAGCAGCATCTCCTTCCCTCTTCTTTCCAGGGACTATACAAAGGCAGAAATACCAAGCATCATTACGCTTAATGCGTATCCGGTTTGCGATTTATGAAAGCGAAGCAACTGGAAGAGATTTACTTCAGATTAGAGGTTGGAAACGTCGTTCCAGTTAAACTTGCAGATTGAGTTTTCGTCGTATCAGTATCTTAAGTATTCTCAATCACAAAATAGTTCCCAATCATATGATATCCTCTATCATTTAAAAACCTTTAATAGTAATAAAATAGAAATGAAGGCAATAATGTGTAATGTTGCTTAGAGAATATAGGGATTTGAACGATCGGTCGACATACATAGTGATGGAACTGCCTCTAATCTCAATTCACTGGAAATCAAACGATAAACCATTTATGTATTTTTCGATACTATAATGCATTCTACGATTATATTAGGCTCAATCGTGAATTAAAAATAGCACGCTAAATAGTGACATAGTATAATGATTCAGAAAAAGGATATCTTTCTGTACCGCAAAAATCAAAATTTTATGAATGTTTGTTTATGTACTTACTATAGCAATTATTTGGTGTACCTACACCAACTGCCGTAACCTCTCATCCTTCGCGGGTTCCGGGGGGTATTCTGCCCCTCTCCCAAATTTCTCGTTTATGTTAGTGAGATTGAACCCTCCGACTGCGCGAGTTGTCCCATCTCAGCCGGTTGTAAGGTTATTTTTGCAGGGATGCCTCATAAGACCTCTTCTCGGATGCATTTAGCGGTTCTGGAGAGAAAAAGAAGGGGAATTGAAAGATGATAAGAGGAAGGTGACGGAGTCACATTACGATAACAAATGATACCCAGTGACAGCGTAGGCTTCCGCGGCCGGAGTCAGTATTTACTAGGCTGTCCGGGTGACGCCGCGTCCATGGAGAAGGTGCCGACGTTTCGGTCGCCATTGGAAGTCGGTCGCCTGAGGAAGGTCGCAGAATGGCGGCCGAAACGTCGGCACCTTCTCCATGGACGCGGCGTCACCCGGACAGCCTAGTAAGACTCCGGCCTAGTACTGACAGTACTGGTAGTAGGACAGCCTAGTAAATAATAAAAATGGTACCCATGCCTTTTGCGGGATTCGAACACGTACCTGGATGTACCGCGTGCTTGGGCACAAGTGCCCTTACGCTATTGATTGATTAGTGATTCCTAGCGCGTCAACTGATAAGGTCATTATTCCCGTAAGTGTAGATCGTGCATACATCTCGGGAGGTGGGGATGATCTTTCCCAGCTGGATGGCGAGGTCTAGCGCCGACGTACCCGTTATATCGCGTGCTTTTCCAACATGATGGCGACCAAACTCTGAACCATGACTGGAGACGCAAAGGGAGATTGAAGTATTTTTGTTCAGTAGTAAATTATGAAACTTTATTATAATTATTAAAATACATTAACACAACGTATTTATGAAAGAAATCTCTAATAAATAAATAATCTTCATTGGCAGCGTCTGAGCTAAAACTACACACTCTAATTGCTGTACTCAGATCGCTTGCTGAGTATTTCACCGCACAATAAGTCACAACCCAGTACTATAATTTTTTGATTCCCTCACATGGCCTTAAGCAATATGTGTCTGGATGAGGGGTTATGATTTTCAACGCGGGGCAGGGACATTTCTGAATAGAAGCCATGCCTTTACACCTACCCACGCTAAGAGAGTCGCGAAAGATAGAATTCACCCACGTCCTACATCTTGAGGGACAAGCGAACCCAAAGTTGATTTCTACGCTGACAGCAGAAGCCCCTCTCCTTCAATATACAACTGCTACGACTAAATCGCGTGTCATAGGGGTAGAGAATTTAGAATCACAGTTAATTACAGTATATTCACAGGAAGTCCGTTTTATAAAGATTTTTTCCCCTGCAGGACTTGAAAAATCGTTCTGTTTCCGCTTTGGACTAATTCCGTTTTATGCTGTGTAAAATGCCATTTAACTTTACGGGCCACAGAGATTTTCTGGTTAAGGCAGGTTTTCAACTTCCACAGGTTCCAGTTTATACACAGTTTACTGTACAACACACTCCCAGAAGACATTAAACAATTAAATTCGACACACAAGTTTACGTGCGAAGCAAAATTTTTCTTCTGCATAATTGTGTGTATGCAATTAGAGACTATACTACGTCCTCAAAAAGAAAAAAAGCATTATTATTTTAACAATTATATATAATGTATAGTTACTTTTTGTACTGTATTATTCTAAACTGTTAAAAATCTGTAATATATCTGTAACATGTATTCTACATGTTTTTGGGTCAAGGCCCCAATCTCGATTGGATTTTTCTTTCTGTTTCCCTATATAATGAGCAAAAGCTGATATGTCCCCTTGTTTTTTTCTTAAATGTAACTTCCCTATACCCACGTTTTGTTGATCTTTCGATTCGCTAGTTGTATTAGGCATAGATTCGGGAGTGTGGGTTTCTATTTTGCTAGCAATACTAAAAATAATTGTAGTTCGTTTACCGATGTACATACCTTTCCCTTGTTTGCAAATGTTACCTCGCTTTGTTGGTACTTTTATTCGTTATTCAATAATGCATAGTAAAAGGACAGGGAGAAGATTATGAAGCTCAAGATTGCACAAATTATATTTCTCCCCCATGCGTCCTGTTGTACTATTCTTTGGCGAAAGTAAATAAAATAAAATCATTCATAAATACGTAAAAGACAGTTTTTCGGATACAAAATTGCATTATCTCTTTGTCACCTGCATCGATCCTACCCACCACTGAAACAGAACTAATTAGACCTTAGTCCTGACGTGGGGGCGAAGTTTCACCTCAAAAAAAAAATGAAGCGCGAATTTTGCGACGGAAAATGCGAGATAGCATTGTTGAAGTGCTTCCTCCCTGTAAGGAGGAAATGTAAAAAAAAATAAGAAAAACATGCCAAAAAACCAACAGAAGAAAATAATATAATAATAAATAGGTCTGTTTTTACTACCCTCAAAGGTTTACAAACAGAAAAGAATAATATAAAATGAGTTATTAAGATGCTACACACGACAGTTAACATTTACTGGACCAATTACTGTAGGTGGAGTTCAATGAAATTATCCTCGTTACAAACCCTATTTACGTTACCCAGTAGAAAAATAAATACGTGTTTTGACTGCTGTAGGTCTGCCTCCTCAACATGGCACTATGTCATCAACCTCATTCTTCGCTAAGTCTATTTAAAGACATCTGTGGCCCATCGCTTCACGACGTCTCGACATGGTCTGCGAAAAAACGCTGAATCACCAGCAAAATAAATAGAACCGTTTTATCGCTAACCAACCAGTCTTAATCGCAGCCTTCACCGAAGTGACCTCCAGCGAACTTTCGACGTAAGTGGTTGGATATTCAGAGGCACACAAGATTCGAAACATCACATTATTCCTCGGTCGTTTAAAGTAAATTAGATAAACAATAGCAAGTGGTGCAACAAAGAATTTTATCGCATTATTGAGATCTTTTGCAATTTTCGAAAATTCAACAAAAAACAGACCTGCGTCATATATATAAGCGTACTCACTATCCGACATTTTTTGCCGTTTTGGAGCCTTTTAAAGAAAATGTTGGTTTTAAAATTGGTTTTATTTCGTGTAAAACTAAGCAAAAAATTATTCATTTTTTAAAACAAAGATATACCCGATCTCAATTAAATTTGTAATTTTCAAGTACATAAAAGTTAATAACTTCATTAAGAAAAAATATCTTCAAAATTGTAGTTGCAGGAAGATCGAAGAAAAATTTGCAATTTTTGAAAATTCAGATTTAAGCAAAATCTCAAATGTTGAGCAAAGGAGCTTTGTTTAAAAGTAACGTTATATGCCGCTCACTGAACTTTCACAATTTTAATCGGCAGCATTGGCACTATTGACTCTGTACTTACCTCCAGTCAATTGGCGAAAGCCAACCCTCCGTGATTGTAGACCCGAGCTTCAAATCTCATTCAGGTCTAGTCGACATTAAGGTCTCTTGAGTTGTTTTTGCGTGCCACGGGGAGCGAACCTGTCGTAAAATGGCTTACAACCGCCTACAGCGCTACCTCGCGTCCTGACAAAATGGACCGAGCAGAAAAATGGCGGGAAACTCAAAATCGTTGAGCATGATTAACTAGAATATGAAATCAAAAATATCAATTAAGCAATTGTTTAGGTCTCCATATTTTATTTAAACAGTTACAATTAATAATTTAAAATATGATTTACAATGATAATTTATTTAAAAAACGTATTTCGGTATAAATAAACAATAACAATAAAAATTGTGATAATTATTGTAAACACAATACCTAAATTGTTTTCACCTATTCTGTATCAGCGTAAAACTTGAAGACACAGGAATAGAAAATTTCAAGCGTAATATAAAACTCAAAACATATATATTACTAATTTTTAATGCATGCAGAAAGTCAATAAAAATTATGCAACCTCCATCTAAATGAGGGGTGTCTACGATTTTGTAAGATACCTAGAAACTGAGAGACAATCCAAAAACAATGAAACTCTCGAATTTAATTAAAAAATAAATTTATTGTATTGTCTTATTCTTCCTTATATGCATATACCGTCTGGATTTTCTCATTCAATGCCACACTGCTCACGCCATAGCTGACGTCTTACGACATCAAGGCTCAAAGGAAGAGGCCACCCACCATTAATTGCCTTCTAAAACAAAATTTTTCTTAGTTTGTAAAAAATAGTTGTATACATATTATAATATGTAATTACAGTATTCGCGAAGAATACTTTTGTTAAAATCTTGAATTTGTTGCTCATCTACACGACAGTGTGGTTTGGTTTGCTGCCATTATTGAAGATGCAGCCTCAAGCTCTTACTTTCTCGCCATATGTACTTATGTCTGCAGTAAAGAGAAAGCACTAAAATGTTCTGATGGATATCAACGATTTTTCGTCCGAAAATCTCGTAACGAAATAATGGATAAATCTTGTTCTTACATGTGGAGTAAATTACTTTCTCCGACATGTGTAGACATAATCCACAT